CGTACGTACTACGTACGTACGTACGTACGTACGTACGTACTACGTACGTACTACGTACTACGTACGTAGTACGTAGTACGTAGTAGTAGTAGTAGTAGTAGTAGAGAGAGAGAGAGAGAGAGAGAGAGAGAGAGAGAGAGTAAAACATGATTATTACCTGATCATCATCTCGTGAATTGCCACCTTTTGATCTAAAACGCACAGGAGAGGTCGGAGAAAGCCCATGGCCACCATCCCTTGAGCTCTTCCTCACCCTCAAAGGAGAGGAGCCACTATTTCCCTGTGACTGCATGTCTCTCCCGTATGAAGTATGTCCATGAATTGGAGAGCCATGCATGACCTTTCGGGCTCCTGAATCATAGCGAGAAGGTGAATACATGGGATAGCCATGACGCTCTGCAACATCTGATTGGTGTCTCTCGTATTGACGTCGCTTTGGCGAAGTGCTAGCTAAGTGTAATGGAGAAGCATCAAAGCTTTTGGAGTCTGCGGTTCCATATCGAAAGGCTTCAGGGTTCTCTTCAGGGTCATTTGGGTTCATGATCTTGCCACCAGTTCCTCTGGTTTTAACTGCATTCTCGAAATACTGTGTGTAGGGGACATTTTCTCCGCTCTCCCAGTTTCCAAATTCGGGGACATGGGAATGCTGCTCTCAAATAAAAATGCAAGAATTGCTTCATATGGAAGACCAAGGCAAAATCAAGCTCAACTATAAAAGGAGCAGAGGTAATGAGAAGTGGTAATCCTTAAAACTTCTTTGCTGAATTTGAGTTTACAAGAGTTATTAACATTTGACTCACTGTGCTTTTACACAATGATCAATGTATCTATGGCTTTCTAACTTGGATACATCTAATGGTGAACTTTGCAAGAAGTGTTTCAAGTCTTCTACAAGTAATGTGTTTAACCATATAGCAATGTTTTTTTTTTTCAGCTATTTGTTTAGGTGTGTTAATGTCAATAAAGTAAGGATTAAGATTCAATAATCCAACTCATGACATTTATCTGTGTATACATGCTTATGCTATTAGGAGTGGCAATGGTCCGGCCCAGGCCTGAGTTTCGGGCCATTTCTGGGCCTAGTTTCGGGCTCCAGCTGGCCCGGGAAGGCAATAAAACAAGATGTTTTTTGGGCTGGGTCAGGTGTCAAACGAGCGGCCCGTGTAAAAAATACAGCAAATGCCTACGGAATTACAACATGGTGCATTTGTAAACATGTAGAAGATCTTAACAAGACTGTGTAACTTGCTTCAATTACTTGTGCAAGTTAATCTAATTCAGGTAAAAGATGACTACTGTTAATCTCGCTTCCAAAGAAAGCGAGCAATCTCATTAAGCAAGTTAGTATATAAAAGAGTTGCTATCCACTTCACAAAGAAACCAAAAAGTTGAAGATTTTATGGTAATATCGAAAAACGTTTCCGGTATTGATGATGTGATCCAATTTTTTTGTAATCGATCCTCTGGTGGGTTTTTATTTTTTCTGGTTTGCCCAGATCCAATATTATCAACATAGGACTGGTTGCTTTTATTTTCTTCAAATCTAGGCTTGTGGTGTCTAGACTGCGCTAAAGTTGGACTGCCCGATGTCTGAAACATTGAACTACACTATATTAAGGCATTGGTCCTAGTTTAAGGTCAGTCTGATATTTGTAATAATAGGTTTTTGTTTGAAATGCGGCCGGATGTTTTGGTCATTGGACTGCCATATTATTATAAGGGTACGGTTTGTATATAGCCGAGGCTCTAAACAATCAAATTAGATAGTGTCGAGAAATATGGTTTCAATACCGAAAATCTTTGTGATAGTTTTAAAATATATTTTTATTTTTATTTATAAGTTTAAAGTTTCAAAAATAGTGGTGATAAATAGCTATGTGAAAACTTGAAAATCTTGAAAATTGACGGTCCAAAAATGCGTTACAAAATACACTATTTTCAAAACTTTAAAATAGAAATCCATTTGTTTTCTCATGCCCATACATCTTGATGTCATGATCAATTTGAAGATATTTGGGCATCAAAACATCTTCTAGTGAAATTTTTGAGATAGGCTCAAATTTGATTGTTTAGAGCCTCGGCTCTATATAAAGTTTTTCCTTATTATAAAGTTAGGGTGCGGTTTGTATTGAGCCTAGGCTCTAAACAATCAAATTAGAGCCCACCTTCAAATAGTGTGAAAAAATGTAGTTTTAATATTGAAAATCTTTGTGATAGCCTTAAAATATATTTTTATATTTATTTATAAATTTTAAAGCTTCAAAAATGGTGTAGAACAACAGATCTATGAAAACTTAAAAATATTGAAAATTGACGGTCCAAAAATGCGTTACAAAATATACTATTTTCAAAACTTGAATCCATTTTTTATCATGTCTATGCTTCTTGATGCCGAGATGATCAATTTGAAGATATTTGGGCATAAAAACAACCTCCTCTAGTGAAATTTTTGAGGTAGGCTCAAATTTGATTGTTAAGAGTCTCGGCTCTATATAAACTCTTCCCATAAAGTTATTATTAGGTGTCCATCCGATGTTTGTACTTTGTAATATCAAATTGACCCTGAATAGGGCTAATGCCTCAATATGGGTTAGTCCGATGTTTCAGACATCAGACCGACCCCCAAGTGACTTTTGAACTACGTCACAGCCCGAAAATAAAGAAAACCGGTTCGATGTTGCTGATAGTGGATGAGGGCAAAGCTGCAAAAAAATAAAAAATTATGACTGGATAGGAACTCCTTACGGAAAAAAGGATCATATCGTAATTCCCATAAATTTTTTCAAAAAAATTACATATTCGTAAAAGAAGAAGAAGAATAAACCAATACAGAAATTTCCTAAAAATTCGAAGAAGGGACATAAATCAGGGTTCGTGCGAGAGAAAGAGGCCTTGGGCCTTTTACAAATGGGGTGAAGAAGATTCATTTTCAGAGAACTAATTTTCTACTAATTTATTGCAAGGCTTTATTTCCAAAAAAATAGAAAAAAAAAGGGGCATAAAAGAACACGAATCGTAACATGTTGATCTCATATCTACCCAAAATAAAAAAACAAAAATTATCCAAAAAAACAAATTACCAAAATGAAATCAAGATAATTTAACAAACTTATTGAAAGTAATTAACATAGAAAACTCACAGCCATTTGCGATATGGATAGAGGCCTCAAGTATCCGCAAACAAAAGTTGCATGGAAGAGAGGTGAGAGGGAAATGAAAGCAATGCGAAGAAGCCACTCGTCTTTTTTTAAGAGGTGAAGACTAGAGGAGCTTCACACTGTTATTGGGCGGCTAGAGAGAGAGAGGGTCTAGAGAGAGGAGAGAGGAGGGGGGATGATATCGAGGCTTAATTGTTGTCTTCTTCGTAAATAAAGGACCAGGAACAAAGTGCTTAAGACAAGATAACACTAAAAAACACAAAAAAAAAGTGCTTAAAACAATGTACCTGATAATCATGGGGTCCCATTTCTAAATATTGGGCCCTGTTGAGTCTATGAGAAACATGGAAGAGAAAACTATTCTATGTACCCAATGTGTACTGTTCGCAATGACAGATCCAATGTTGGTCTTTAGCGATGGACGATTAAGATGAAATGTGCTTTTGCTTAAATCGTGAGTCTATCAAGCCGATCAGTTCATCTCTACCGTCCATCCATCACAGAGGATGGAAGGTGGAGGTGAAGTATATACTCTTAAGCAGTAAAATTCTACTTATATTTTAGGGTAGTGATTTCATACCACGGTTGTATCATAGTATAATGCAACAATATTAAAAAACCATGTTAGGGTCATTTGTTTGATCCAACTTTTGAAATATACACTCTTTTCATTCTAATGAACAATAAAAAATAAAAAAGAAAAAGAAAAAAAGAAAAAAAGAAAAAAAGAAAATAGAACTTAAAAAGTATTTTTTTAGCCCAATTAACATTGGCCGTCCATTTTGATAAGATTATTAGATCAAGGCCTTAGAAGGATTTTTTTTCCTTTCCATTTTTTTTAAAATGGATTTATTATCATTAGATGTGTTAATATATATATATTGAGCTTGTAACGACTAAGATCTTGAAATTCACCAAATGAATAGCCTAGATTCATTGTTGGAGTGGTCTAATTTTGACCATATCTAGGGTTCAAATGGATTTTTTTTTTGGGATTAATTATTGAGATGAAGAGAGTGTGTGCGCAAAATTCTGGGTCATACAAATACCACAAATATAGTTTTCTAGAAGTGTGATTGCATTATGCTATGATACAACCGTTGAATGAAGTCACTGCACTATATTTTAAAGAGATTGTATACAATGAGACCATTTATCTTTACTTCAAGAAGGTCACAATCCCTTATATTCATTAGATGTCAAATTGGATGGCTTGGGCTAGTCATGAAGTTCGAGATCTTTTTTTTTTTTTTTGAGCTTTGAGTCTTTTAAATGACACTCTTACAAACCATCCAGTTTGAATTCAAGGGACCAGAGTGAATGTGACCTCCTCGTACAAAAAGTAAATAGTCTTTTTGTATACTTTTTCTATTTGAAAAATGTGAAGTTTGTACAAGGTGCCCACTTTAAAAATAAGGTGCATCTCTAAAAATGCAATTTGGGTATAAAAAAAAATTACGATGGCCTCAAAATCCATTTCCATTCCTAATTATAAAATTTAAAGCTTAAAAAATAGTGCAAATCAAATAGATCTATAAATATGTACAAATTTTGAAAATGGTCGATCCAAATAATATGGTATAAGATTAGGGGTGACAATGGATCCAGATTCGATCTGAGAACTGACGGGTATTCCCGACATGGGTCCAGGTGTAGGTCTAAGTTTTGGACCCGTAGGTAGGTTCGAGTCTAATATGTGACACCCAAATAATCCCAGATACGGGTTTGCTATACCAGACCCATGGTTATTATATATAATCTAACTTTAGTTTACTGTTTGGTGGCGTGCTTTAAATGCTTGACTTTGGTATAGGTGCGGCTCACACGTAGTGAGTCATTGAGTTGGTGCGTGCTGCAATTAAATGGGATGGTATGGCAGTGCTTTCAAAACGTTTTATGCACCTCAAAGAAAATGTGGAGAAAGAGAGAGTGGGATTTGTCCCACATCAAAGAGGGGAATAAATTTACAAAAGATCTATAAAAGGCGTGGGGATGATTAAAGTCATAAACACATAACTACACGAGACCCATAATGGGTCCGGATCTTGGGTCTTTAGTCTGGGTCCTACATTTTGGACCTGTTGGGTACGGGTCCATAAGTAATGTTTT